TTTCTTAGCTGTTTGTAGGAGTTGAGGAATGCCATGGACAGAAAAAGTTTCGCATATATATATATATATATATATATATATATATATACACTCCAACGTTTCTGCAAGCTGTGCTTAACAAGTCACTCAGATATACTTAGCCGTCCTTCACTCCAAAGTCATCTTCCCTACGTAGGAGAGTAACGAACCTGCCGTTCTATATTTGGCCACTTATCTCATAGTATTGTTTTTAGTACAAAATGTCTAAGGTATCCTCACTTGTTGGATTGTGAAATTCCTGAAAATTCCGTCTTTGACTTGCTGAAACCGGCCGATATTTTCGGAGTAAGAAACATTCGTTTGCTGTTCTCAAAATTGAAGTTCGTGTGGATGTCAGTCGTTACGAAACAACGGTAGCTATTGGCCTCATGCATTGATTATTACCCATGCGACATGCATGCCGCAGGAATTGTCACGCGATACGAATCGTACTAGCCAGTTTCGTGCGTCTGTAGAAAAGTTTAACCTTGCCGCCTTCAACTGCATAACCCTTAGTACAATCGACGTTTTTGTGATTTGAAGAAAATGAAACCGTACACAGGATTTGGCGTTTCGTTTTACAAATTGTCCTCAAGTATTCTAGCCACCTTTGTTCCAAACCGCCTTTACGCAGGTGCTCACAAACGAGTCCCAGAGAGAAAAGGACAAAGGTAAAGTTTGTTCGGAAAACATACACAAATATGGCCATCGGTTTTCGGTTCATCTGAAGTTGGACCACCAAAACTTGTCCCGGTGTGAGTAGCGGAAAGCGCGGATCTTGAGAATAAAACCGCACACTTTGTTTTCAGCGTACGTCAAGGCATCAGCGTGGCGATAGTCTGAGGTCGTCCACCTCATCATCATCGTCATCATTATCATTGGCAGCATGATATCAGTGTTTAATACCGATTCTTCACTACCGTACAACCATGATTTATGTGAAAGCCCTATTGTAAAGAAAAGAGTAAAAGTGGACGGGGAGGGGACTTAGTTCTAGCTTACCACAATCATTCCGAGGTGCTTAAACCTCCAGACACTCACTCAGGCGATCTGGATAGAAACTGACAACAAGAAAGCCATCCACAAGTTCATGAATCGGAATGAACGACGGGCGACAACAGCTGGCAAACTTCTGCCACTGGGCATCGCAGATTCACTGCAATAGGAATATTCCCACCCCGTGGGGTTATAATTACCTCCTAGTGTCTTACTTATCTCAACATTCTCCTAGTTCTGCCAGAGAGTTTGGTGGTGACCCGATAATTGACCCCTTTTGAGGAGTCCCCTACTGAGTGCTTTTATTGTGACAAACTTGTAGTCCTTTGTTTCTGTGCCAGACGGAATGACTCACTTGTATAGTAAACTTGCGACAGTCACCAAATTGCTCCTCTCGATCGTCCCAGATTGCGTAAAATCGAAGCACTTTACGGTCTAGCTCTAAGTGTTGTCTGCGTTTGTCAAATGAGGATGGCGTTTTGCTGACTCCCAAAGCCTCACGCCTAGCTCGATTATCCAGATATGGGTCGACAGGTTCCGGTTCGGGCGGATTTACTTCCACTCCTTCGCTTTCTAGGAAATCCTAGTGAGATTGGAATGGAAAGAAGCAAAGAATTCATCACAGTGAAAGAGGTATAAAATCAGGTAGCCTCCACGTAACCACAGTGCTCTCAAGAGCGACTACACATTATGCTGGTCCATATTGGGTTAAAATTAAAGATTCTGGAGATAAAACCCAACAAGCAAGAAAAAACAGGTCTTGGAAACAAATGTTGAGCCGAAATATCCTCATAGAGTGTAAAACTGATTGACTTGCTCTGCTCCAGTATATCTTATCCCAATCTTCTCCACTTCAGGCTCTGACAACCCTTTGGTGAAGGTACATGCCACACAGCTGAGTTACATATGGGTTGATCTGACCGACATTCATTTACACATCATGTATGGCTGCGAAATATGGATAAGTACAGGTGCCGGGTATGCAGTATACTCTCCTACCTGTGATCCCATCCAGGCTTATTGCGTGTTTTGTTACGCTGTTCTTACCTTGTTCGGTTCAAAATGCAGTTATGATCATGGCGGTCAAGTTGCACAATAAAATAAATTAGCTTGCAACGGAATTCTACCGATGTTTCGTTACTTTTAAACAGCATCCATATTATAATATCGTATCGGCACTCATTCTTGTATAACTTTGGCTAATCCTGCATGATGTTACCAATCGGCGGACAGTACAAAACTTGATGCAAATGAATATGAACACCTTAAAAGTACAGAATTCCATCAAAGTACACGAGATATGGTCTTGATGACCGAGCTCTGACGTTTGTGTTCAGAGCTCGAGCTCGCCTGCAAAGACGAAGAGAAATACCTAGAAACTTGGAAGGACTAATGGCACTAGGAATATACTATGTTTCTATAAGCTTCTTACAAATTCGGAACAACCAAGCTTCTCGTGGATGTTTGAGCGCCTGAAAAGTTACCGGAGCTCGGGCATGCGATATCTCAACCTGTCCAAAGCACATCCAATAAGTTTGTGCAGGGATTGAAGGCTCCATTAGATCGAGCCCTCTAAGATTTGACTACACATTGAATCCGGGTTCATGAACCTTCATTAATCTGCATTGCTTGACGGGGGTTATTTGACAATGGCTTTCCTTAGACCGGGTTGTTTTTCTTTAAATGAGTATGTTGAACAACCAGTTAGTTGATGCTGAGTGAAAACAAGCATCCTCGAGTTTTTCAGTGGTTGCAAAAGAGCACAATTTATTTACTAAAGCGATTTTGTTATATTCAGAAGAACTTCCAAATTTTGAGTGCGAATGTACAATGGATGTCACTAAATAATACCCCGTGTACGATGGAATAAGAATTCACATTTTTATGCATAAACCTGTCTTGAATTCGGTCAACTTCTTGAACTCAGATGGTTTCGTGAGTAATGTAAAATGTTCCCACCTCCGAGTGTGGATGGATGCTCCTCAACAAGTTAAGCCTCTCGACAAATACTCTGATTTACATAGAAACCTGGTTTTGACAAAACACTCAACCGAATTCAATTGAATCCTTTGTTTAAGTTGTTCCGCTTTAAAATTCAGGCATTTGGTTACATTGTGCCATAACGGCTAGGTCATCTTGCTTTAAGATACCTCCCAAAAGTGGTCGGCCTGTGAATGGTTTTCCGGAATGCTTAGTCCTGATGAACATGAAAAAACGAATCCATGGCTGTTGAGGTGTCAACAACAATCTTATTAGTAATAGGTTCTGTCACGAAGCTAACCTTCTATTGTATCTTAATTAGCCAAGGAATAATCGAGGAGTTTTGAATTTTTTCCATATAAGTTAAACGCAAAGCATTCAAAAAGAGGAAGAGAAGAAAATCATCTCTCTCGTTTGAGTCACGGCGACGATTGCCGAAGTGCACTATGCTGGTGGATGACAGCAAGGCTAAAACACATGTACGGGGCTTTCAAGTTTTTAGAGAAAATTAACCTCAATTGCAGCACAATACCTCGAATAAAATTAAGGGATGCTTGTAACTTGGCTCTCTCAGCAACTTACATGTGTGAACTTGTCACAATTCGTTATCCGGTACACGCGCCCATAGATTGCCAGGTTAACACCCAGGTTGAGATCTCTCCAATTGTACGGATCCCCCATATCATTCTTTGGAATACGATGGCGTCGCACAAGCTTACCTGGTCAAAGAAGGAATACAATGAGTGCGGTTCAGTTCAGTCACTTTGGAAGTTTATTAAAAAATTTATAATATACGGATCTTTCACCCTTACATAATAATTCATGCGTAAAACAATCACGTCCTGACTTCACCAAATAGAGTTAATTATTCGTCTGCAACATAAAGCAGAATTGCTTTCTAGAATCCCCTTGGAAAAAACATTTGTGCTCAACTGGCAACACAATGCAAGGTACTCAGTGAAACGATTACAAAAGCTTGTTGCTGCTCTAATTCTCAACTGGTAGACGTATTGCAACAAAGTAAGTTTCTGAGTATCTGTGAGACTCTTGGTTGCCATCTAAACTCTGAGACTAGACTAACCTAAGTGTCACAGGTAAGCCAGATACTAACGTCCGACTTATTTCTCACACATCCGTTTTGACGGTATAAATTTCGGTTTTGACATTCACCATCATACTTACATCTAAGGGTCAAATAACTTCCACGAACTGTGGTGCACTTTCTTTAGTGTGCCGTGTACCTGTACCGGTTGTAACGAGACTGTCGATGTCAACTGTGCTTCGCCGCCTTACGGTGGCTCGCGAGATACTGTCTCCAGAGCAGCAAGCGAGATTCCGGCCAAAGCTTCACACTGCGCTAGGTGCTAGAACAACGCCATACGTATTAGCGACCCACAATTCTAGTATTCCTGGATTTCCGAGGCGCATTCGACTCGCTTGATCGGTCCATTCTTCTTGAGACGCTTGCCCACCAAGGAATGCCCCGGAAGTTTGTAATCATAATAGGTTCTTTGTATTCTCAGACTTCCAGACGTGTGAATGTGTACGGAGAGCTTTCCAAAAGCTTC